CATTTCCTCTCCTCTGTCACTTTCCCCTGTAACTGTAACTGCTTTTAAAAACCTTTCTGTGTGTCATGTTGAAGTGCCTTCCTAAAGTGAACCAACTAAACCCCTTCACAGAAAAGCCACAAAATCCTTTCTTCAAACAAAGTATTTCACAGCCCCTTGCTACACCAAGTGGGCAACAGCAGTGACCGATTGTGCTTCTGTGGAACAGGACTCTGGTCTCAGCCCCTCACCGCTGTCCCTGACCTGACCTTAACTGGGAGTCTTCACTTCAGGGAAGCCTCTGTCCATAACCATGCTACCCTGAGGTCTGGACAGTGGTGTATGCGGACTGTCGCCAGGGCTACTTTTAGTCTTCCTTGCTACCTTTGGGTATTCTTTCTTTCTTTCCTAAGTTTTTTCCCAATTGTGAACATTATTTATTTAATTTATAGATGACAGTGAAATGCATTACAATTACAATTCATATTACACACATAGAGCAGTTTTTCATATCTCTGGTTGTATACAAACTCTATTCACACCAGTTCATGTCTTCATACATGTACTTTGGATAATGTCCATCACATTCCACCATCATTTTTTTTTAAAAATATTTATTTTTTAGTTGTAGTCGGACACAATACCTTTATTTATTTACTTATATGTGGTGCTGAGGATTGAACCCAGGGCCTCGCACATGCTAGGCGCATGCTCTTCCACTGAGCACAACCCCAGCCCCTCCACCATCATTTCTAACCCTTGCCCCTCCCTTCTCCTCCCACCCCTCTGCCCTGTCTAGAGTATGTCTATTCCTCCCATGCTCCCCCTCCTACCCTACTACGAATCATTCTCCTTATATCAGAGAAAATGGTCTATACCCAGAGGACTTAAAAATATAAAGCAGCATACTACAGGGACACAGGCACATCAATGTTTACAGCAGCATAATTCACAATAGCTAGACTGTGGAACCAACCTAGATGCCCTTCAGTAGATGAATGGATAAAAAAAATGTGGCATATATACACAACGGAATCTTACTCAGCAATAAAAGAGAATAGAATCATGGCATTTGCAGGTAAATGGATGGTGTTAAGAGAAGATGATGCTAAATGAAGCTAGCCAGTCCCAAATAATCAAATGCCTTTGGGTCTTTCTTGTCCTTCAAGTGAGGGAAACAGCTTCCAAGCCCATTTCTTCTTCCTTCCTCTAAACTGAACTTGATTTTATTGACTCTTAATCTTCATTTTTTTTTCTTGTATCTGGCATGAAGTCCACAAATGAGTGGTAGAATGAAAATAGAAATGCTGAATTACTTTTTAATAAGCAATAGTTCCTACAGGTGTTGGCAGTAAGCATAATAAAGGAACCTGGTTGAACTGGGAATCAAGGGGGAACTTCGTCCTCTGTGTGCATGCCCACATGAGCACTGGGGATTGACCCCAGCGCCATGTGCATGCTGAGCTCACACTGTACTCCCAAGCCACACCCATGTCCCCCAGGGGAACTTCTTCACTGGTTCATGTGGCCACTTCATCAAGGTGTGGCAGTTTGTTCTGTTCAGCACAGCAGCCATTTCTTTAAAAGTGAATCTAAGAGGACTGTCTTGATCATCTGTGGGGGGCACCATTTAGCTGCCCTTGTCACAGACATGGAGAAATGACTACCTTTGGGGCTCTTCTTTGGACACAGACTAATCCCCTTACTATTACAGTATCTTCTCACAGAACACAAAATATAGAATTATGTTTTTGTTTTGTCAGGTGTAGCATTCAGTCTTGTGATCCTGAGATTCGGTCCTGTGATCTTGGGTTTGAACAGAACCCCAGTTCTTGGGTTTGAACATGCACCCCAGTTACATGTATAAATGTAGGTAAATGGAGTTTTTCAGATGGAGAAACTCACCAAATCCTGTTGTGATTTTTATTTCAACTGTGGGCAGTTCATAGCCTAACTCTTCAGCTTCTAGAGCAGAATGCAGTGGCAGGCAGTTGCATGAATGTCAGTCCCCCCTCTGCCCCCAACTGGTTCCAGAATTCAGAGAGGACTCCATGCCCAGTCCTTACCTGCTACTTGTAGCCCATGCATTGACCACTCTGTTAGAGTGTTGTTTTGTGAGCAAGAGCTGCCAAAGGTTCCACTGCGTTTCTTTCTACCTGAAAGTCAAGGCATGTGTCACAGTTCTGTTGATTTCTGTGCTGCTCTGATGAAATGATGTGTCTAGGAGGTCTCTAGGAGGTCCTGGGTGTTCTTCCCTGCTCTAGTGCTGACCACCTCCATCTCTCTGCATCTTCATTTCCTGACCTGTAGAATAAGGGGATGGTATTCGGGCAGCATTAGGTAGTTTTGCCATGAGTTTTAAGATTCACTGCAAATTATTTGTTACATGTGATGCTTGGAAGAGGAAAAGCTTCTTTATTTCTTCTGTTATTCGAATTAGTGCTCATAACAAGGGTATGCCATATTTTTATTTGGAAATGTTTCGAGAGAGTATGAAACATTAAATTAACTATACGTTCAGTTTTCATTTTAATTAGCGTTGGGGCCTTATAAAGGGAGATATGGTAATTTGTATTGTTTTAAGCTTTCTTAAGGTATTGTTCTTATCAACATTCATATTTTGAAGGATAAAAGCTTTTAAAAATGTTTCTGCTGGGTACCTATCTAAATAAAAAAAAAATCAGGCTTTTATTAACCCAAACAAAGCTCCTAAAGAAAAAGAATAGGATGTATGAAGAGAATGTTTAAAGGAAGACTCTTCTGAGAATTTGCATTTAAACTTCTGCTGCCCTGCTTGGTCCCATATACAGTGTGGCGTTACTGCTCCATGACTGGGCTGTGATTTTTGGCTTCATTATAGTTCTGGTCTGCCCTTCCATTTTCAAGCCAAATTCAACAAAAGCCTGAAATAATGTTTTAATAAACTGTGAAGTCGGGCATCTCTGTTCCGAAGCTCCCTTCCTGTGGAATTTCTGGTGGTGTCCTTCCCACCTCCCAGTCAGCCCTGACCGACTGTCCCACCACCTGATCCAGGCTCCCAGGGGCCTGCTTTCTGCCTCGTGTCTTTGTCCCTGTGGCAGCACCTCCCTGGTTGGCCTTCGCCTCTGATAGACGCCCTCCCAGGTGTCTCCACCAGGCTGGTTCCTGTCTTCTGGCCGCACAAGTCTCGTCCCCTCCCTGTTGGTCACAGGTGTGGCCCTCTGTCACTGAAAGTTCCTTCCCTGATGCTGTGTGCTGTTCCTTGTCCTTTCTCTCTCATCCACTCTGTGCCACAATTCACCGGGCACCGGACCTCTTCTGCCCTGTGTCCTCAGACACTGAATACTTAGGGATGGACCACTTCACCTTCTAGGAAGCAGGCTCTGTGTGTGGGTTTGTGGGTGGTCAGCGTCTCCTTGGCTATTTGGTGGTGACTCTGGGTGGCATGGCTGAAGTTCCTGGGAAAAGCACCTCCTCCTCATAGAGATTGTTAATGAAGATGGGAGGAATGTTCCATTTGTGGTGCATTTCACATTTACTGTAAGGAAAGTGTGTGTATGCAGTGATGTGCTTCATTCTGATAAAAAGGTAGCAGAACAGGCAGTGATTCTCTTGGATGCTTTATGCAATCTACCAAAGTTGGATATTTAAAAACATCTATTAACAAGATTTCTCAGAATTCTAAATGGGAAAATTTTATCAGAGTACTCTAAGAAGCTACTGAAATGGAACTGTCACAGGTGCTCTTAAAGTAGGACTTTGCTCTCTCTTTATTGAATTTTTCTCTTTGTACTTCCCAGATTTTGGTGGTTCTGTTATCACAAAGAGCTACTCCGCTAGTCCCAGTTTTGGTTGACTTGCAGTTCCGAAGGTGTGCTCCTGAAGAGGTTCACACAGTGTGCGAGGTGTGTGATTGGCCATTTCACAATAAAATCTCACGTCCAGAAACTGGGCTTAGACACCCCCAGCTTTCTCCTGGGTTTCAGGAACCTAGAGCGTGCTTGGGCACTAGGAGACACAGATTGGTGCAGAAAACACAGAGATTAAGGTAAACACCCCAAAGCTCACATTCTCACAGAAGAACTGAAGATCTGAAAGTTTAATTTGAAAGTGTGTAAAGGATATGAATCGTTTCTAGGAAAAGATAAAAGCTCTGCTGGGTTCCCTGCTGTCTCGAGCCCCAGAGCAGTGTTTGCTGGGTGCAGTGTGTATCAAGGAGCTATGTCCACTCCAGCTCCCTGTGCAGTGAAGGAATTTTCAACAGCCAGACATGTACCCCTGCGAGCGACATCGTACTTAGAGTTTGTGCTAGGGAAATGTGTGACTGATCGTGGATTTCACATCCAGGTTTGTGTATCACAGAAATCCGTTCTGAAATAGTCAAGTGTGCGCGTGTATCAGTGTTGAGTGTGGATATGTGTGTATGTATATGTGTTTGTGTGTCTGTATCCCACAGGAATCTGGTTATGGTGGATGCTGGTGTGGACGTGGGTGGCAGGCTGGCAGGAAGCATAAGCAGTCAATAACTGTAGGTTTTCTAGGGAGCAGAAATGGGAGGAGGGTGTCGGAAAGAAGTGGGAATTTCCAGGAGAGGGGATGTTACACCTTCTAGTTATTCTGCTCTCCTGTTTGAATCTTTTGAGATGTAATTTACTTTGATATTAATCTAAGAACTAGGAAAGATGATGTATGGTTTTAGGCCCATTTTTATTAATATTTAAAATAGGTACCTAGTTAGAAGTGTCATCATGTGTACCTGGAAAATGTGGTTTTCAAGGATGGTTCAAATCCGTGTGAATTCTGTGTGATCGTTGTTTGGTAATGAGACGATAATGGTGCAGGCCACTGCCAGGTGGGTCTGCTCTTGTTCCGTAGTGGTGTGGTAGACAGTGCAGAAGTCTGCTATGTTTTCCTCAGCAATTGTAAGACAATCCTGGGTTCAGGACAGCCTGTTATTCTTGGGGACCTACCTGTACTAAGAGCGGTTTCAAGGATGTATTTGTCAGCCAAAGAATTCACACTGTTCTTTCCTTATCTTTTAGAAAAGCTCAAGAGGAGAACAAGAAAGTCGTGCTTGCCGGGTGTGTGCCCCAGGCGCAGCCTCGCCAGGACTACCTCAAGGGACTGAGCATCATCGGGGTGAGCTGGTGCTTTGTGGCAGAAGCCACTCTTCTGCTGTGAGCAGATCAGAGCCACATTCCATTTCCTGTTATCCTAGACATGTTTCCTTTATTGCCTTTGAAACTTGGTCACGTCTTTTTCATTTTACCACAGGAACTTTCTGGGTTTTCTCATTAAGAAAGAGTAGCACAGTATAAAACATGGCCATGGGTTTGTGTCCCTGAGTGACCTGGTCTCTGTCCCTTGCCATCTTTCTCCATATCCTTCCATTTCCCATCTTCTGAACTTACCTGTCACCTCTAGTGCTAGGTGCCTTTCTGGAATGCCCCACCCCACGTCTTGGCTCCAGCACGACTTGTCCTGCCCTCTGTGTGCCACCCTGCCCCTGGGCCCCCCTGCTGTGTGTGCAGTTACCTGTCATTTGCCCTCACAGCATGCAGTTAAGAATTTTATGTTTAGAGTCGTGCTTTTAGGTTTACATGTGATCTTTTAAAGTCCAAATCTCTATGGGAATTAATTACTATCCTCATGAGGCCCACTTTTCAGTCCTCCTCGTTTTCCTCCCCTCTTTCCCAGCCCTCCCCACAGTGCTGGCACAGTGGGCGTGCATGCTGTGCTCCCTGGCTGCCACCTCCGCCTTGCACTGTCCTGCTGCCAGCTTGCTGTCCCTGACAGCAGTGGCTCTGTAGAGCCTGCAGCCTGCCCTGTTTTCTCCCTTCTCCTTCGGAGCCTTCTCTGTTCACAGAAAGCCATGTGTAGTGGGCAGTCGGTCAGTGTTGGTTTACAATGGTGGCACTTCCTTCCAAACATTCTAGTAGGCAGTGCTCTGTAAGCTGACCAACGATCCTCTTTACCACAGGCTTTATTAACGTTTTGAAATATATTAAAATACCGTATGTACCTAGAAAGCGTTCACCTGGGCAGCTGGCATTGAGGTTGCTAATGGGGATTCCTCTTCTGACACCCTCCTGACAGGGCTCCTGTTGGGTACTCAGTGTAATGGGCTGGTTTTCTGCTGTGAAGCCCTTGCCCCCCTAGAAAATGTAATAATCTTTGAACAAACCTTCTCCCTTTAAACAAACAGCCTGAATGTTTGGTGACTCTAGTTTGTTTTCACCATTTGTCTATTTACATTGTGATTTCTCCTGGTTTAAAGAATGAAATGAAAATGGGCCTCCTTAGTTGTCTCTTCATGTTGCACTAACTCTGCAAATAGAATCCTGCTGTGGTGGGGAAATGGGAAATAGAGCTCTTTCTTAGGATGGAATATGTACATGCTTGGAGTTCATCTTGGGTTTTATCCCAAGGAATTACATGGCTGGAAAAGCAGACTTTCTGGGGAATAGAAAAAGCCTCTTCTCTGTGTACCTTAAGGTGGTGTTTCTGAACTCTGTTGTGTGCAAGGAAGAGCTTCCTGTGTTTTTGGGTGCAGGGGACATTCTAACACGGTGTGGGGGTGCTGGGAGTGTATCTCAGTGGTGGAGCTCTTGCTCGAGGTCCTGGATTTGCGCCCCAGCACCGAAAGAGAAGGAAGAAAGTAGAATCCCTAGCATAAGGGAGGGTGCCTGGTGCTGTTTGTGGGAGGCAGTTTGCAGTGCTGAGACACAGCTGTCTCCCTGACATTGCTTGTCTTGTTCAGTAGCACCCCTTTTTTCTGTCTCATATTCCCATTTCATTGCCATTAGCATTCCTTGGATTTATTTTATTTGGCTCCTTTATGATGGGAGAAATAACTGAAGAACACATGTTTTGAAAAGTGAGTGTAAAGAAATTCATGTTTCTATACACAATTATTATGACTGTTTATCCCTGTGAACATTTTAACCTTTGCATCATTTGCTTAATTGCAACCTCGAATTGTTTTGTTGTGTATATTCTGTTTTTCACATGAGCTTTTTAACTATTGAAGTCCTGCATTGATGGTCTATTGAAGGGCTTGCCTTCACTTATTTCTTTATTGTTCGATATAAACATTTCCTGATATTTAGGAAATACACAAAATACATTAATTCCCACAGTGTGCTTTTTATTTTAACTTAGCATATTGTAAAATGTTTCCACAATTATATATCATTAACATTTCATGTAGTAATTTGATTTCATACTCACCAGCATGAAGTATTATCAAAGTGTTTCTCTGTCAGTACCCTTTCATAGAACTTTTTTATTGTGAAAACTGTATGACATCTTATTTGTCATCACTGATTTTTTTATATATGAAGATTGGATACACAGGACTGAATTTAAAAAATTAGGTTAGGATACCAAAACTATCTTTAATTGGATGCCTGTAGAGGACTGTTTCTGATTAGAATTCTTAGAAATGCTGCAAAATTAGAAACTTTCTGAATTATAGTAAGTCACAATAAAATGAAGAAATGAATCACATTATTTTGTGCTAAGGAAGAGTAGTTCTTTTTAAAAATATATATTTATTTTTAGTAGTAGATGGACACAATGCCTTTATTTTATTTATTGTTTATATGGTGCTGAGGATCGAACCCAGCTCTTCAGATGTGCTAGGCAAGTGCTCTACCACTGAGGTACAAACCCGGCCTAGAAAAGTAGTTCTTAAGTATTAAAAAGTTTACTTTCAGTGGCATGAGAAGCTGTTTTTAGCAGGATGCTTGGGGTTGTATTGCACAGTTGATTTGCAGGCCGAGTAAAGAATGAGACTTCTTCATACAGCTCCTGTGATGGAAGGTATTAACAGGTGGTAGGAGAAACAGCTTTAATTGGATTCTGCACTTCTACAAACTTCCACTGAGACTTTCCTGTGTCAGTGCAATCCCAACACGGCACCTGTTCCCCAGGTGACCAGATGGTCTTACTGCATGCAGACCTGGTGGTTGGAACCTTCTAGGTGCTGGTTGTGCAGCTAACATGAAACAACCAAAGGTTCCTGTCCTCAAAGAGCTTGCATTCTGGTTCTGAGACAAAATGGCTGGTTTGAGTCCAGAACTTCTCCAGCCTCCAAGAGACTTTAGTGGGATGATCCCTAGAACACATGGAATTGCCTGGAAATGTTGGCTGGTCAGGAGCAGTTAGTTCTTCCTAGAGTGGGGCTAATTCTCAGGTATGCAGTATCCACGTTAATAGAGAAGGCGTTGGTTAATGACAGAACTTCCAGACGCGCCAGCTGTGTGCCCTGCAGGCAGAGGGCCTTGTCGGGAGAGTGCTGAAGTGTGCAGAGCACAGGTGTCTGCTTGTCTCGGGGACCGTTCTGGGTTGACTTGCAGTGGTTTCGACATCCTTTCAGGCTGGCTGCTGGAATCCTGAAGGTGCAGACTGTGCAGTAACTGCTTAAGTGTGGACACTTGGATTCTGCAAATCACGTGTGTGAGGCAGTCAGCGTTTGAAACGGGCTGAAATGCAACCTGTCTCTGCCACGTGCCATGCTGCCAAGGGTGAGCAGATCCAGGTCAGCCTGGCACATTAACAACGGTGTGGGTGCCAGGGCAGAGTTTGGGAAACTATTTCTGTTCATCTCTGCATTGTCTTCTAATAGTTTTTCTGTCATATTCCAGATTTTGACCCTCTAGTTACTGGGGAAAAAGGGGGGGGTGGGTGTCAGCACCATATCTGAAGGACACGTAAACTCGGAGCCCATTTAAAAATGTCACTCACATTGTGGCTAAGAGAATGGATTCGGGGGCTGGACTGCACAGGGGTGTCCCCCTGCTGTACCACTTCCTAGCTGAGTGACCTCACACAAGGTACTTAACCGTCGCTCTGCTTGGTGCCTGGAACGTAGTGTTGTGTATTGCTGCTGCTGCTCAGTGACTGCCATGGACTTCCTCAAATATAACGGATTTGAAAATTCTGTTCTCTTCTGATATCATTTAAGGTAGGGACTTTCCTAACAGCTTAGAGCAAAATTTTTAGAAATAAAACATTTTCTCTAGAGAAGTGAATATCAAACTTTGACCTGCCTGATGCTGTTACAGGTTCAAATCCCCGTTATGGTAAAAGTGAAAAAGTTGAATATATAATTGATGGGGAAGACTTTTTTACATGTATAATTCTTACCAAAGATGGACGTTATTTCTTCCCCTTTTACCAGACACATTCATAATGTGCAACATGTGGATCTGGTACACGTAAATGGAGAAGAGTCAGGGTAGCCAAGCAGATTGCCTGTCCCTCCTCTGCCGTGATTGTCATGGAGTGTGCATGTAGGGGAGCACCTCTCCTCCCTCTTAGCAAATTCATTGTAATATGACGTCACTAACCACAGTTCTTGGGAGGCCCACCGGGTCTCTGGTCTTAATCATTGTGTATGACTGAGTTTTCACTCTTGGACCTACTTCTCCAAATTTCCTTCCCACCTCTGGTAACCCCGGGGCTGTGCCCTGTTGCCGTGTGTTTGGCCGTTTTTCATGTTTAGCTTCTACCTATGGCTGAGATCATGCAGCACTTGCTTTTCTGGGTCTGGCTTATTGTCCTCCGCAGAGGGTCCTGTAGGTTCATCCATGCCTTGGCCATTGGTGGTGTTCCTTTTTATAGACCGAATAGTACTCCATCATTTATGTTTACTACAATTTCTTTTTCCATTCATCTGCCGAAGGGCACCTATTTTTTTTTTTTTTCTTTTTCAGAATGGCTATCATGAGTGATGATGGAGTGATCAGAGACCCGGGCGTCTCTCCCAGGTGCTGATTTCCCTTCCTTGACTGCATATCCATAGGCAGGCTTGCAGGGTCCTGTGGCGCATCCCTCCTTAGTCTTACAGAGGAGCCTCTCCAGCTCTCCCACGGGGCTGCCGCAGCCTGCACTGCCCTTGGTGGTGCGCGGCTCCCTTCCCTCCCACCCACCCCTCCAGCACGCCTTAGTTCCTGTCTCGCTGCTGACCATCCTAACAAGTGTGCCCTGGCATCTCACAGTGGCTTGGCTTTGCATTTGCCTGGAGATTGGTGACCCTGGGTACCTTACATGGACTTGTTGGCCATCTGTGTTCTTTGTTTAGAAGATTGTTATTCTGACTCTTGCCCACGTTTTAACTGGGCCCTTTGGTTTTC